CAATAGGAATATTTGCAGTGTTAAGAATAGTGTTTCTACTGAGCGATGGCTTCTTTCAGATGCAACTCCCTGAATCCACTCCCTGCTGAAGCCCTTACAACCCTAATCCCCGCACGCTACTATATAATCCCAGTGTCCATTTCATGTTCCATCGTCGTTTTCATTTGGCTCTCCATTATTTCGAGATACTATTTCTACAATGTCCCTGTATAATCCCTGTCTGCCATATATCCTTAAGTTTTAGGAAGCTCCCAACTGAAAATAACTATGTTTCTGAGCCCTAAACCCTAAACCCCAGCCTCCCACCTCCAAAAAAAGATACAACAGAATGCTATAACCTACTTGTTGAAGCCCTTGAAAGCGAGGTCAAGGACACAACCGAGGCCTTCGACTGGATTCAGAAGCTCAGATGTTTAGATAAGGGGATATAGGGGCTGGATTTGGTTCAGGGATAGCATAGTTGCTAACTGACCGAAAGTAGGTACACCCTCAAGCCCGAAAGATCACAGGATGAGACACTTATGGCTTCTTCTGGACACTGGCGACCTTCAGTTTTGACAAGTGCCTGAAGCCTGGGCCTGGGCCTCATTGAGCCATTTGGCAAGCTCTTATTCATCATGGCGCTCCACAACCGAATCAGGGCTCCCTGCCACCTTGGTCAAGCGTGCTACAATACGTTCTGGGCTTGACTGTAGGACTGTGTTCCCTCCATTAGCAAAACTTTGGCTGCCCGACGTGCTTGCGATAAAGGTGGAGGCCACCATATGCTGCAAGTCAGCTCCATTCCTGACCGGCTCAGTCGTCTGGCTTTGTGTTCGGAACCCAAAGGATGGAGCCAGGGAATTGATGTCCAGCTTGCAAGCAGGATGCTGGTTCCGCCGGCTTTTGAAAGCCTGACGATTTCGCCTAAACAAACCTGACCAAGGCGCAGAAGCGGTGCTTGCCAGCTGCGTGCAAAAAGAGCGCTACGCTCCACTGACCAAATTCCTCAGGGTCCCATTATGAGAGTACTGCTTATTGAGTATGCAGATCGGGTAGAAAAGAAGTAGACCACATGCAAAACAGTTGGGCACGGTGATTCAAAGTGGCTACTTTGGTCAGGAGGTTTGCGGGACCTTGGCAGGGGACAAGGAGCCACCGGAATCATTCGAATCCGAGCCGTGTAGCACCCGGAGGGGTCCCCTTGCTCTAACTTCATGCTCTTATGGTAGTTTCCATTTTATTTTCCATTATCCCAATACTACCGCAATAGACTAGAGTAGTGTCAATTTCATTTTCCATTATCCCTATATACCCTGAACTTCCCTCTAAGATCTCCCCGGCCCATCACGTGAGTCTTGAATTGCTTGTTCAATTGTAAATGCCCTTGCCTCTGCAGGCCTTGCTCAAGGAGCAGACCCCCTATCAGAAGGTGCTGGAGGTATACAAGGCTGGCGCGCATCGCCTGCAAAGTGCAAAGGGGTCGTGCTCTGAAGGAAGCACTCTTGCGCAGGCGTTGGAGTCGTCCTTGTGAGTTGAGCCTCTGATCTCATTGTTTGGCTTCGATTTTACGTTCGCTCTTGACGAGTGACCCTGCACGGCCTTGCTGGGGTAGATGCCTCTCAAAAGAAGAGGCAGGGGTGCAATGGCCGCAGCAGAATGTCAGTTCCCTTTAGCTTCAAGAGTGGCGTAGGATAGAAGCTGTGACCAGCTTGGCGGCTGGTACCATAGGGCAGGCACTACTACTATCATTACTATTACTACTATTCCTATTGCTGTACTATTACTATTACTGTACTATGATTACTATTACTATTGCTACTATTACTATTGTTATTCTTACCATTCTTAGTCAAGCTGGAATGTGAGGAACCCCAAGCGCATCCCGTTGAGATTTCGAGGACCCTGCCTCAAGCTGCATGTTGGTCATAGATGTCATAGACCTCCCAACAGGGGGCGCACGGCAGTCCCCATCCGGGCCCCGGGCTCATGCCTGGGCCCCAAACGCAGCCAAGCGCTGCATTGCATGGCCATGATGTCGTTTCCGCAGCTTCTGCCTTGGGCTAGAGCTCTGGTGTTGAAGCTTGCTACTTCAATGAATTCACGACTCCCATGCATCATGACTGGATGGAGATTAACGAAGGGAAGCATAGTCAGCATAGTTGTGAATGTAGAGGCTTACATGGCATGGTCTTTTGGTCGCAAGCCGCTCCTCCAGAAGTCAAGACGTGCTGGGGATTCTGATGGATTTCTATAGCTGCAGTTTGATATTGGAGTTACAGATCCACAGTTGGGCTGAGCAATCGCCCGTTGTATCCCGTTGTCTCTTGAGCACATGATTCGAAGCTCCGGGAGACGTATGGGCAACCAGTGCCGTAGTGCTTTCCCATTCTCTGGAACAAAATTATGCAATTGTACTTCTTGGCGGCAGCATTAGGCACACTGCCTACACCTCTGGAAACTGGCGGAGATATTTTGTCGTCAGTTCGCATACTGCTGCATTACTGCCCAAGGGCAAGCTACGGGAAGCAATGGTGCTGCAATCATGCAGGTATGTGTTCCATGACGTTTATAAGAATGCTCACGAAGCTCCAATCTCCTTGACCCTGGCAGGTCCAACTAGTTCGTACTTCATTTGTGCTGACGGCCCCCCCCATCCCAAAACATGCAACTAGCAGCCACCACAAAGACCCAAACTGAATTGGTGGTGAGCTGCGTCATCTGCCATGTTTCTGGATGGTGCTCTTTGCCATCGAGCGTTTCATGCTGGCTCAGGACTCTCATGTAGCTTTCGCAGCAACTTGCCCTAACTTGTGCTTGTCACGCACTTAAGGATGTCCCAAAATTAGGGGTACCATTGGGGTTCCCCCAGGGGATTATAGTATTTTGGGATCCAAATTAGGGCACCCTGTTCTGGGAAATTGCCATATGCACTCCGCTGGAAACAGGGATCATATAGAGACTATACTCCCTTGGTGGCTACTAAGAACCAGTAATTTGCAAGATGTTGGTTAGGTCAGCCGAGTCCGTACTCGTATCGCCGGCATCAAGTCCTGGCCGCTGGAAAGTTGAGTGCATGCGGTAGTGTCCAGAAAGACGGGGACCCGTATGTAACAATATAATTCTCATTATGGGACCCCCAGAATGGTACCCGGTACCGCCGTAACATCCCCTAACTTTGGGAAACTCTCATGTAGGATTTTTTCCTTGACCTTGGGACCCTGCAGGACTGCCCGCCTCATGAGCAGGAGGCAGTGCTCGGGGTTCAGGGTTTAGGGCAAGCATCCTTAAAATTAGGGTTTAGGGCTTGGTTTAGGATCTAGAGTATGATTCCTTTCGTTTAGGGTTCAGGGTTTAATGCAAGCATTCTTACCACTGCTGGCTGGCACGTACACATTCATATCCAGTAATCGACCCATGTGGTCCCCATGATATAGCAATGTCCACATCCGAGTCAGAAGCTCCTATCAGCCCAGCAATGACACAAGCAACATCAAACAGTCATAGTCCCTGCCACATCTATCACCATTTCGGCTCTCATTTCTTTTGCACACATTATCACGCGCATCAGTAGGTGAACAATGCAATTTGTCAGATTTTTTTGCTTGCTTATGTATCGCATTCCCTGTGCGTGGGCTGTGCGCAGGGTCCGCGAACCCCTGCCTAAGTTGCCACTTGCTCCGTGCAGAACTCAGCTTGGCTTGGTGCAAGTAGTTTTGCAATGTTCAAGTCATAAGAGATGGTTGTCATGGTAAGCATCGGCTGACTTCTCTTCCGATCTCCGCCAGCATCAGACCATCATCAGCATCAGCAGCGGAACTGTCATCATCACTATCATCATCAGGAATCATCACCAACACCATCACCATCAGCAGTAGCATCATTGTCGCTATCAACGTTTGCAGCCTCATGTCCATGACGAGCTCGGATGTCAAGTGCGGTCTGTGGCCAGGTTTGCCCCAACGCATTAGGCGCCCCGCTATACCCCAAAAGGGTTTATAGTTTTGAGAACACTCTTCACATGGACGCAGCAAACTGTTGCTGAAATCTGTGCTGCTTTTGCTCAAGCCCAGCGTGGCTGAGCCACAGGGGATTTCCCTACAATATCATTAGCCTCTATGAAGAGGACAGGGAGCTTTTTATTTTTAAAGACTTCTCAGAGTCACCTTACAGTAGCATCATATGGGGTAAGCAAGGGGTCATCTAGGGCTGTTGTACAGGTCACCTTTATCGCTCAAGTCGCTCCAAGTAAGTACAGCAGATTTAGTTTACGCAAGCTCCCCAATGGCGTACCGAGAGCGGCCGGGAAGTTGGCTGAAAGCGCTAGATGAAGGGCTGGACCCTGTGCCAGGGTTTGGCGTTTCGGGTTCAGGTTTGAAGCGCAAGGACTTCAATTTGAAGGCACTTAGTTGGGCCTTGGCTGGACGAGGATTCCCAGTAGGTATCGCTATGGAATGGGCTAGTGGTTGCTGTTTGCTACACTTCTAGTGAAGGCTACTCCTGTAGCAACCCTTACAGGAAGTGTGTTTAGGAGGTAGACCATGCTCTCTCTGTCCAACCCTCACTTACAGGCGGATCCGTGCCTTCGAATTGCCCTGAAACATCTCAACATACCCGAAGGTCAAAATGCCCCCACCTGAACACATGTAGTCCAATTACTTCGGAAGTCGGTTCTGAAAGGGCGGGGCGGTCGGGCCTCTTTGCTTTGCATGCTGGTTCTAATTCAACAAATTTGTCTGCATCGCTCAGGTCATCTCATTCATAGTATTTAGGGTTCAGGGTGTGAGGGGGTGTGTGCCGCTGGCAATCGAGGACCATCCCAAGCTGCTTCAAGTCTGCGGGGCCTGCAGCTGCTTCTGGTGCGTGGTGGTAGTAGGTGCGGGCGCAGCGTCAGCGTGTGAATCCACATGGTTTGATAGCTTATGCTCTGTTTTGAGGCTTGGGTCTCTGATTCAGGCTTGTTGGGCTTCCGCCTGACCGTCGTTGTTTTTGTAAAGCTGGAGCTGTCCAAAAGCCAGCCCATGACAGCAGGTGCAGTGATCGGCATAAATTCAGCTGATGACTTCTTTCGGAAGGCGAAGGCGGAGACGTCTGAGTTGCGTAGCATGATGGATCTTCTGTGGTTCATGCAGATTCTCACGCCTGGCCAAGCGTGCAGGCATGGGAGGTACGACCAGCCTGGCACCAGACGGAGTGTGAGGTGCTGGTAGCCGGGGTCAGCTGCGCCGACCAAGAAACCAGGACAGCTGCGTACCATGCTTCAAGGTCAGAGATGGGGAGGCTTTTTTACGTTACAAAAGCTTAGACTTAGACTCACCAAGAAGGATCTTTGGTGAAAGCGCCCAGAACAGGAGCACCTGCGGAGGCTACAAGCTCGGTTCGATGCCGTCTGGTAGCCCACCCGTCTTCCTGACCGAGGAGATTGCCGTTTGCCCCGGAGCCTTGCGGCATGGAGCACGGTGTCAGATCTAGATCTCGGGATTGTGTGATCATGTGATCCTTCCGTTACTGAAGTCAGGGCAGGGCGCTGGGTTGTTCGAAGGGTTGTCTTGAAGATCCGCTTTCCTCTCCTTTTCTGGGCTTTTTCATTTCTGGGTTGATACACCCAATTACACCTACTTATGAAGTCACGCCTTTAAGACAATTTTCAGGTTCTTACGTTTGTAAGACCGACCTATAAGTCCTAAACAATCTTGTGGTCCTAACGTTCATGGTTCGAGGATGGTTTTTGGGCACCCCGTGTATGGGTGCCCCATAATATGAGGAGACCACATGAGACCTTGGGGCACCTTAGTTTTGGGTCCCCCTTTGAGATTCCCTGTAATGGTTCGAGTCAGCTATTCACGGCTCAAGCTTTAGAAGTTGACTTTCTGTCTTTGTCACCCCGCTATGGCAGTCACTGAAGCAAACTAGCCGTTGCTTTTACCCACTAAAGGTGGCGTATGCGGAGTAAAAGGGGGGGTTCGAATTGACAGCAGGGGCCTGCTTGGGATCTAAACGATGTTTTACGCACGCGATGGTAGTAGCTTTTCAATCCACCCTTTCAAGGAACATACTGGTGTGGCAAGGAGCAGGACATGTGCAGCTGTACTGGGGAGATCACCTATGCCCCAGAGCTGTTTGATGGCGAAGTGTACACTGTGCCATCGGCTGAGAGGGCCTACAAGGTGCCATCCTACACTGCATCGTTGAACGCCAGTTTGTTGGTTTACCTGATTTTCTGCGAAGTTGTATGTTTTGTTAATGCGCTCAAGGAGTGGCTTCCAATGTAGTGGATCTGCTCAACTCAACGCTCGATTTCGACGACGACGAAGAAGAAGCTGCTGTTTACCATATCTTCTGGACTTCGTCCTTGCAGCCTCTCGATATTCGCACACGCGATGACGACGACGCCGCCTCCTCCCTCTCCATCTCCTGATCCTACTATGACTCCTCGTGCTACTTCTGCTACAGTATTACAATCGCCATGACGGCGACCACGTCGCATCACAACCACTGCTTCTGCTGCTGCTGCTGCTGCTGCTGCTGCTGCTGCTGGTGCTGCTGCTGCTTGTGCTGCTGCTGCTGCTGCTGCTGCTGCTGCTGCTGCTACAGTACTCCTGGGTTACCTTCACCCCGCTACTTCTGCTACTAGTATTGCTTCCGCGTGTGGAGGTGACCTCAAGCGGAGCACATCGGTGTGGCACTGACCAGTCTGGCCAGCCCTACGCGGTCGATCCTGCGCCGTGGCACATCAAGCACTGCTGGTGTACGCCAGCGTCTTGGTCAGCATCCTGGGTACGGGTCTTCTTGGTTGCCGAGCCATGACAGGGCTTCAATCCAGACAAAGATTAGGACCGATATACGTAGTTCGGTTGGCAGAAGATGGCACAAGCCCAGTACCAACTGGGAGAGCTTTATTCAGGATTCGGACTCTGCATTGGAGAGGCATCAGGGATCACTTGAGTGTCAGGAAGGCATCTTGAACATCCTGAAGCAGCATCACGGCACAAGCCTTCACAAGAAGGACAGGCTGGGCTGTGATGGTTTCTCACCCGAGCAACCTAGGAATTCCCAGAGTCTCGAGTGCAATTCTCCAAGATGTACACTTCTGCTGTGGTTGGTTAAGCGGCAAGGTCGCGAGCTACGCAACTGCAGTAGCTGCCCTACAATTTTATGACCTGAAATTCTCGCAAAGCTTGGTGTCCATGAAGGCAATGGTTGAAAGGCGGAAATCCTCCCAAGCCTTTGTACCATCATGCCGTTTGAGTCTTAGTGCACTGATGGTAGCGCATTCAGGGACGATGTGATTGGAATGCCTGTCGAATTGCGCAAGGAGTGCTCTCAGAGCGCCAACTTTGACTTTGCCAATGTGCCGCGTCGCCTCCAAAGTGAGGAAGGGGCGGACAGCCTCGAAGGTGGGGACGTAAGCATAGGCCTCTGGTGCTGTAATGGTGATGACAGTCGCTGCTGCTGTTGCTGCTTCTGCTGCTGCCATTGATGCCGCAGTCGTTCTGGTCCTTTGTGCCATGTCGATTACGGAAGTCTCTACCATTGCCTACACTTCAGCCCAGAAAAACCTTACGCACTAAGCCCTCGGCCCTGAACCTCAAGCCCTGAGGCCCTAACCCCTAAACCCAGAAGGCAAAAAAATCCTCAGCCCTAAAGCCTGAGGCCTGAATGCTGAGCCTTGGAGCCCGAATGCCAAAACCTTCCAGCACCCCAAACCCTGAACGGGCAAACCCCTAAGTTTCTGCGCTGTCCATTTCTTAGGCAGGCATGCGTGGGAGTTTCGAGACGTCTGGAAATATTATAGGGGCTCCCCGAATCCTGACCTGAGGGGGAGGGTCAGGTCGTCGGTCTGCGAAGGCGTAGTGTTTGGGATAGTCGGATTTGAGTATTTTTGAAAACAATTGCCACATTCCTCAATGGTTTGCAAAGGGCGGAAGCTGCGCCCCGCCCAATCCCCCCGCCACCTTCTAAACACGAGCCTGTACTGCCACATTCCTCAATGGTTTGCAAGAATAGGGGCGGAGTAACCCCACACCCAAAAATCCAGATCCAAAAAGCTTTATAAACAAACCTAAACCCTACAAACCCTCAACATTGACAACCCTAAAAACTGCAAACCCTAAAGACTCTAATCATCCTTAACCGTAAAACCCTAAACACCCTAAATCCCCGAAGACCCACGCCATTCCTAAAACCTTACACATCCTTAATCTAAAAACCTTAAGTCTAAGAACCCTAAAGCCTAAAAGTCCTAAACCCTAACAACCATAAAATGCCCAATCCCTAAGCACCTTAAACACTTACAACCCTAAAAAGCCCAAACGCCAAAAGCCCTAAACCCTAACACTCCCAAAAAGACCCAAACCCAAAAAAAACCCAAACCCAAAAACACCTAAACCCTAACAAACCTAAAACCCCTAAACTCTTAAGAACAACCCAAGACGTAAAAACCCTAAACCCTGAACAACCCTAAGCCTCAAAAGCTAAAAGCCCTAAACCCCGAAACCCCCCCAAACTCCCAAAACCCTTAACCCTATACTGTCCAAACCTTGAAAACCCAAAACCCTGCAAACCCTAAAAACCCTAAACCCCTAAAAACATTAACTCCTAAAACAGGGGCGAACCCTGGATTTCTCAGAATTTGCGGAAACATGGAGTTCTGGGCCACCCTGAACCCTTAACCTCAGAACCCTGAACAGTACACCCGACTTGAAATCCTTGACCCTAACCCTCTTAACCCCAAACGCTAAAAACCTTAAATCCATGCATATGGTAGTTTCCCTAAATAGGGTACATGTTACAGTATTTATCTATTATAGGGACCCCCCAAAAGGTACCCCCCCCAATTTTGGGAACCTACCTAGAACCTGAACCCGAAATCCTAACCCCTAAATCCCAAACTCTAAATCCTAAACCTTACACTGAGGTAAGAACCCCGTGTCGCTTGCGGCAGACATCAAAAGTCCGAGGGGTTGTAAACAAAAAAAACCTTACACTGAGCAAGCCGTGGGCGCCGCATTGCCGGCAGCGAGCGTAGCTGCGCTCAACGCGGCTCCAGAGCAAGCCACAGTCGAGCAAAAAAGCGCAGCACCCCCGTAAGCGGCCTTCCCCATAAGTGGCCTTCCTCGTGGGCGTGTTGGTTCCATACCGAAACCAACAGGCTGGTCGCAAAAGCAAGCTCCCCTTGATAGGGGGGTTTGGGAGTAGATGAACCCTAAACTTGACCATGCAAGGTCATAAACTGGGTGGGTGGGTGGGTTGGGAGAGATCGGTGAACTTGGACACACACCACACCTGCGCCCACGTGTCAACCCTACACCCTAAACCCCAAGCCCTGCAGCCAGGTGAGGAAGCAGAGCCTAGGCTCTTGGCCTCCTCTCGACGCCGGCGCACCTACAGCCTTGCGACAGATGTGCAGACTTTTCTCTACAGGGTTTGAGTTTAGGGTTAGAGTTTCGGGGTTGCTGGTTCAGGTGTTTTTAATCTGAATACCTCATGTGAGTCCCACTTGAACCCCAAAGCGCGAACCTTAGTCCATGCAGACTGATGTCCTTCTTGAAGTGTGCTAGTCTTGTGGTTTGGCTTAAAGTCCAAACCGGAACTTGGTAAGCATAGGCGTCATGTAAACTTTATTTTTGGGCGTCTGAAGTCATGAAGGCTTCTTGCGGCGGTCGAACTTGTTTGGCCGGGGCTTTAGGTTCAAGTATGGGCTTGGAGTTCCAGGTCGGGGCTTGGGGGCTTTCAGCGAGGATGTTCATTAAAATGCGCAGATGAGGGGCCTATTTCGTCCAACGAAGGGCAAAGAGGTTCGGGGATGCAGGAAGCAGCATTTAGATAGAACTAGGGCTTTTTTAGGCCCACTACAGCCTAAATCCTGCATTCTCGGTTCCGGTCTCACGAAGGAAGGATTAGGGCTTGCGGATACATGCGGTTTAGGGTTGGGTAAACGAAATGTGTCTGCAGGGTTTATGGCTACGCTGCAAAAGATCCCTATGTTATATGATCCGTCAGCGCGCCGCAAGACACCTTTTGCCATCCTTGTGTGCCCCTTAGTTTATGAACCCCCACACTTCCTGGTGGGTGGCGTAGGGTTCAGTTCTTAGCCTTACCTCGCCCCCCTTTCTCCTACACGTCGCCCATTTATTAAGCCCTGGGTGGGCAGGATGCCCAAGTCGTTTCCTGAAATATATATATATGATAGAGAGCCTTTTAGGGTCTATTTGGAGGCTTAATTAAGATATTTATCTAATTTCCATTCATCACGAAACAATTTAAATTAGATAAATCAATTAAATTAATTCGGCTGGAATTCATGTATTTGATTTATTTTGGGGCCCGAGATAAATTGGATAAATCAATTCGGCTGGAATTACTTTAAGTAATTTATGTAATTTATTTTTGGGCCCGAAATAAATTCAACAAATTGAATAAATTAATTCGGCTGGAATTAATTTAGTTAATTTATTTAATTGAATTAATTCGAATAAATAGAGGAAAATGGACCTGAGCCAGTCTGGAATTACTTTCATTAATTTATTTAATTTATTTTGGGCCCAAAAACAAATTAAATAAACTAAATAAATAATTCCTGGTTGGTCTCAGGTCCATTTTCCTCTATTTATCTATTTTAATTGAATTAGTTGAATTAGATAAAGTAAATAAATTAACAAAATTCATTCCAGCCGAATTAGTCTATTTAATTTAGTAAAGTAGGTCGGGCCTGTGAACCCCACTTGGCCCGGACCCCAAGTAGGACCTGTATTGTAGCGAGCAGCCCGCTCAGTAGATCGGCTAGCGTCCCCATTCAGGTAGCCTCCTTAACCCCACCGCTAGGACTAGAACCCTAATTGTCCCGAGGGGCCCCGCAGTCTATAACTTTAATAACTAGCTACATCCTCTTCGTGCTGTACTTCCTCATGGCCTCGTATGAGCTCTTCACGCCGGGCGCCCCCTAGGGGAATAGGTCTAGGTCTTAGGTAGGACCTTTCGGGTTTATTTGACGTTCCGTATTATTCTCTTTAGCTTTTTTTTTGGGATTTGAAAAAGTTTTAAGAAAAAAAACGAAAGGTCAGAAAGTGATGAATTCCAGATCAGGAAGCCCGAATAAACAGCAAAAAACAGAGAGCCGACAACAGCAAACTATTAAGACACGCGTTCTATTGTTTTTTTTTGGGTTTTTCGGGCCTCCTGGCAGGGAATGAATTACTATTTGAACTGTTAGCTTTTTTGGGGCTCTTTGTTTTTCTATGGAGATGCATAGAGACAGACCAAGTGTGCCAGAAAGAAAGATAATAGGAGAGATAAGCAGGCAGGCAGACAGACAGACAGACAGACGTACAGACAGAGATACTGCATAGACCCTATTAGCCCCATACGCACTAGAACCCTTGCCTGACAGGTACCTCGTGAACATCGTAGATGCGCTGGATGCCCCCGACACGAGGAACGGCGAGCACGACAGGCTGGACGGGTTCAGGGAGTAGAGGGAGTTCAGGGCGAAGGGCGGCCTTGAGTTTAGTCTTTGGTGGGTGTTTGGGGGTTGTAGGGGCTGGGTTTTGGGATGTTAGCTAGGGCAATCTGTATTCCCCATATCGCTCATGGTCTTAATTGCTTCCTATCTTTGTATATATATATATATACGTTTAGGTGTGGGTTTGGCCGCCCTTCCTAACTATTGCCACCGCCGCCGCCGCACCTCCATCAAAAACACCACCAGCCCCACCAACACCGCCGACGCCACCACCACTTCCACCAGCGCCACCACTACATCTAAGGTAGACTACTCTCATTAGTAGAAGTGTTCTATGGTTCTGCTTCTGCTGCTGCAACTGCTTGTGCTGTTGCAGCTGCTGCTGTGAACTAGTGCTGCTGCCTCTGCTGCTAGTACTACTACCACCATCACCACCAGTACCACCACCAACACCACGACGACGACGACGACTACTACTACTACTACTCCTACTACTACTGCTACCATCGCTACAACCAGTTTCCTTTCTCTATAAAATGACCAGCTGGACCACTAGGCCTGGAATCCCCTATGACCCTCTAAAAAACCCCGAGATGCGCTCTATGGAGGTCAGAGGCTGGTCATTTTATAGACGAATAGATGTGCTACTGCTGCTATTATTACCTCGACGCGCTCTACCACTACCAGTACTAGTACCAGTAGCAATGTTCATAGTCAACCTAATAGTAGTGACAGCAGGGGGAATATTTCTACGAGTAACTAGTGAAGCAGACAGAAATACAGTTGATAGCAAAAGCACGTTGTACCTTGCGCATTATGGCTTTTTAACATACTACGTTCAAGCAGGACCTGTAGTATAAGCAGTAGCGCGGTAGTACAGTGGTAGTGGTAGCTGTCTAGGTCTTAGGTAGGGGTCAAGGGCTTTAGGCGAGTAGGTAGGCTGGCTCAAATTTGCATGCAAAATTCGAGCACGCAAGTAGTTGGTTGTACAGTGTACAGCTTGCATGCAACCCCTGCATAATTAGGATATGCACCCCCTGCATAATTAGGATCTTAGGCCTCCAAACGTGCCCCGATCAACGCCCAACACCCTGGCACAGGCTTGCTCGTCGGGGGAATGTTTGTTTGTCGCTGTCTGGTTCGCAGTGAACGCAGGGTGCAGATTTTGTACCATGTGTCGTCATGCGCGCGCTTCTTGCTCATTCTTTTCCGTCCCTCCTGCAGCGCGCGTGCCTTCACCCCACGCGTTTTGCCTATGTAGCTCCGTGTACAGTTTCGTGTACAGTTTTGTGTACAGTTGCCTTCTTAAGGGCTAGGCCATCGTAGGCACTGTCGAAAGCGTTCCCCTGCAGCTGTTGTACAGTCTTGTACAGCCCCACGTGCCATGTACAGTCTGTAGAGTCAGGCGCTGTATTTGCGTCAAGCTCGCATCCCTCCGCAGGGAGCGCGTGCCGGGGGTTGTCGCATCAGGTCTCGGTGGGCGTGCGCCTACATCTCTTTGGATGTTGTGTTTGTCGCGTTCTTGGCAGCCTTCAGCTTCAGGTGCGGGGGTGTTGCGCAGGAATTGGTGTCTGGCTGCGTCCACAGGACGTTTGGTGCTTGGCAGGTTTGCGTCGCATGTTGCTTTGAGGTCGCAAGCATGCGTCTACTGGCAGATCAGCTTCTCAGCACAGGGGTGCTCAGCCACCTGTAACCCCCTCGTCCAAATTCCACCTTAAAGCACATCAGCAAACCCCAAATCCCGGCTCAAACAGCGCTGAATTGTTCAAGCAGTGCTCTACTCCACCTGACCGTGACTGCGGGCATTTGTTTGCCCGAAGTGTTGTTTGCTTGGCGCTTGGCATTTCAGGGTTGGTGTGCTCAGTTAGCACTACGGACCACTCCCCCACTCAAACGCAGGCCTGATGTGACCCCCTCGCCCCTCGCGTCGGTGCGTCTCGTTGGGATTCAAGCCTTCTGGCTTGGCTGACTTGACTAAGGTGGGTCGCTGTGCAGCGGCTTGCTTCTAATCATTTAAGCCCTTCGTGAAAGATTGCGTCCATGCTCGTGTGCGCTCAGATGGTTGAAGGGTCAAATTGCTCCCTCCCACGCTGGAGGAACTCAAGGCGCAGAACAGCTCCAAAAACATACGTCGAACGGCAAAATTGCACCATTCATATGTGCCTGGTGTATTCGTCAGAGGCGAGCCATGCAAATGTTCCTTACAGGAACAAAAAATCACGGAAAGGCAGCTATTGCAAACGTGCGCTGTGTAAATCAATTGCCTGTAGCCCCTCACCCTAGCCCTACGGCCCGATTCGGGTCCAGCCAACCCCTACCCGCCAGCCTTCCCGACCCCCAGGACTTCCCCAGCATACATGAGAGAAAGAGAACGGTTGGGGGTGGTTTAGGGTTTAGGTCTAGGCTGCCTGCAATAGGGTTTAGGGTTTACGGCCATTGTGGCTCGGCTTTGGGCTCAAGAAGGCTTCGTGGAATGCTAAAATTAGGGCCCAGGACCTAGGATGTAGGCTTTGTTCTTGTTAGTGGGTGCTTGGCCGTGTCTATCCTTTTGTTGTTAGTGGTTTCGGCTTCCTAGGAAGTAGCCCGGGTTTGTCTTTTTATTGTTGGTGGTTGGGGGGCGGGTCCTGGGGTTCAGTACGTTTTCTTAGTTTTCTAGTAAGTAGTAGGCCCCTAAGCCCCTGACCCTAATTTAAGTTTTTGTTCATCCTCGACGTCATCTTCATCGCGGAGGCCTGGCAGGGGATAGGGTTCGGGCTTGGGAGAGAGCATGAGAGTGGTATAGTGGGAGTAAGAGGAGTGGAGAGGACTAGGGTGGAGAGGGGGGAGAGGAGGGGAGCGGAGAGGAGAGGAGAGCGTGGGAGGGGAGGGGAGAAAAATAGAGGAGAGAGGAGGCGTGTGGAGAGTGGAGAGTGTAGACGATGTGCGGAGGTGAAGAAAATTGGAGAGGAAAGTGGAGAGGCAGCCCGGAATTCTCCTATTTATTTTAATTACATAAATCAATTAACTTTTGCAGGCCCAATATATTGAAATCAGTTCCAATAAAATGAGCGCTAGAAATATTAAAGAGTAAAAAAGAGAGAAAATAAATATCAACATGTAAAAAACAAAACATAACGTAACAAAGTAACGAATTTGCTTTCGGAAGCGTTTTTTTTTTTACGCCCAAAAACATAGCAATAGAAGTATCTGTT